TGCTTTCGTTATTATAACGTTTTTTTTTCTACGATTTGATTCATATTGGGAGAGCAACACTTACGACTTGCAAGATATGACCTTGCTCTTCAAATGACATTGACATTGGAATCCAGGTTATCGAATTTAAGTATATAGTAAAATATAATTGTCTTTTATGAATGACTTTTTTATTAATTTGACAAAATAACACATACTTATAACAAAACAGACATGTTGTATTATTCAGTTTTCAAGTTGCGACCTTTTTCACATTGTCAGGTTGGAGTTTATAGTTTTTATTCTTTTAAATCTGTAATTATACCGTTGTCATCTATCTAAGAATTATATTCATATTTACACAAAAATACACAAACGACAAAACTTAAATGTTGAATAAATCAGATAGATATTTACATTATTAGAACCTTGATCGTTTCGGTCAAGTTATTGATTTTTGCCTAAATTATCATAGCTGGATGACATAACGGACCTGTTGAACTATTATAGTTTGACGACATAAATCGTTAAGGTAAAATTATTAAAAATTTTAAGATTTTGATGTACTAAAACAACACTTGTAACAAACCGACATTATACCGACGAATAATTCAGATTTTAAATTGGACCCCAAAAATAACATTAAATGCAAGGTCAAAATAATGAATGTTACATAATTATTTTCATTTTTTTTGTCTTTGACAAAACATCACGAGAAAACTGACACGTTTCACTATCTTAGTTCGACATTGACCTTGAATGTCATTGACGGTCAAAGACAAGGACTTGAATATTTCTTTAATTGCTTTAAACTTGTTTTTTTTATTAATATATGGACAAAACAATACTGTCAACAATTAATTGCTTTGTTTTTCGGGTGTGATCTTGATGTAGATGACTGGAATTACGAGGGTGTTCAAATATGAATGCAACTATAGTATGTCCCATTAAAAATGGAAATGCCTTTTGCCTGGTATGAATTAACAAAACGACGTTGAATAAAAAAAAACTTTTTTGTTAACTAAAAATAGTCACCCTCGAGTTATTTTTCAGGATTGTGCTCAAAAGTGTCTACTTTTCTTGTATAAGAAAAGTTAAATTTCTCTACGTCAGGTCTTTGTTGTTTATTTTCCGTAGCCATTGCCGAAGTAATCTTCATTTGAAGATGAACGGGAGGAAGCACGTGTCATGTTTCTAAAATGTACATGATGTTCTCGGGGTCGTTTCATGATTACATTACAAAGCTGGATCTACAAGCTGTAACAGTTTAGCTGTTATCTGCATTAACACCAAAAATTCCTGAAAGTCTGTTATTGTCCCATAATCAGTCGCAGACCAAAGAAATAGACACTTGAGGGTCCCGCAGAAGTCAAAAATGTCATTATCTACATTGGCACTAAATATTTGTAGAAAGTCTACGAGTTCCCAATAATCCGTTGCAGACCAACGAAATGGATTTTTTCTGAGGGTTACTAGAACCCAGGATAGGCTATCAATATATTTGTACCAAAATTCTGCAAGTCTTCTAGGATGTCAGTCACACCAGTGAAATAGATCTCGCACCAAAAAAAAAATTAAATATTTTCAGAGGCATTAAGATTACAAGAGGATGCATAAGGAGTATAAGAGGAAGACTATTTACTCTGTATTTAAGAATGCCCTGCTAGGTTGCTCTGCAATTTAGGCATTTCAGCAGAACAATTTTATACTTCATCTAAGAATGCCCTGCTACTTTGCCTGGACAGCTTATCATTTAAGCAGAATATTTTTACACTATATTTATGAATGCTCTGCTGGATTGCCTAGCCAGCTGGGCATTTTCAAAACTATATTTAGGAATGCCCTGCTAGATTGCCTAGCCACCTGAGCAATTCAGCAGAGCATTTTTACACTATATTTTGGAATGTTCCGCTAGATTGCTTAGCCAGCTGAGCATAACAGCATAGCATTTTTACACCATACTTTAGAAATACCCTGCTAAATTGCCTTACCAGCTAAGCATACCAGCAGAGCATTTTTCGCACTATATTTTGGAATGCCCCGCTAAATTGCTTAGCAAACTGAGTATACCAGCAAAGCATTTTTACACTATATTTTGGAATGCCCTGATAGATTGCTTAGCCAGCTGAGCAAACCAGCAGAGCATTTTTACACTATATTTTAGAATGTCCCGCTAGATTGCTTAGCCAGATGAGCATAGCAGCAGAGCAATTTGACACTATTTTTTGGAATGACCCGCTAGATTGCTGAACCAGCTGAGCATACCAGCAGAGCATTTTTACACTATGTTTTGGAATGCCCCGCTAGTGCTTAGCCAGCTGAGCATAGCAGCAGAGCATTTTTACACTTTATTTAGGAATACCTTACTAGATTGCTTAGCCAGCTGAGCATTTCCAGCAGAGCATTTTTACACTTTATTTTGGAATGTCCCGCTAGATCGCTTACCCAGCTGAGCATAACAGCAGATCATTGATTTCCCTATATAAATTGTATTGTCTTTTTGCTTAGCTCACTGTTAATTGCTAACTTCTCACATACCTAAATGTGAGACAAACCCTAAATGACGTCTGTATGGTCATTGCAATTTTGAAATGGACGTCAAGTCAGGTTACAACGTAAGTCAACGGGAAAAATATAATTTTAACATTTTGACTATATTACTGACGTCACGTTTTGCATGAATGCTGTACATGAATTGCATAGTTGGTTGTGTTTTCTCTCAATTGATATAATACTTGTGTAAATCAGTTCAGTAAACCTTTGAGAATATCTCGATTAACGCTATCTACTCGTGTATACTAAAGCTAACATGCTTTGGAAAAGGTCTCTTTTCATTTGCCAAATACGGTCCTGTATCTGGAATCGCCGTATTCTTGGTATACAGGCGGATGAAATATGCCGTATTTATGAGAACAATGACGTTTTCTTTTCATCTATCACACGGTTGTGTAAGAAACTAAAACTTATTGTGGATTCAGTAAAAGATACACCATGCATGCTGTCTGAAAAATGTAAAGAATTCGATTGCTACTGATGCAAGATTTAAAAACTAGGTATATAGCTAAATGCGTTAGTATCTCACTAGGAGCAGCTCATACAATTCTCAAACGTGATTTAAATAGAGAAGGATAATTGCCAGATGGATACCCTATCTCCTTACAAAAAAGCCAATACTTGCTCGGGTAAGAATCTCCAATCAATTGTTGAAACAGTTCTTTAAAATACAACAATCGATCTTTCGGATCATTGGCAATGAGACGTTTGCCGCAAGTTTTATTTCTTAAATTTTGCCCCCTCCCCACTAATCTCCTATCCCCTTCCTCTGTTCCCTTTTACTAAGTGGGCCTATTATTAATCAATCATTTATTTGTATTTGTATTCTTTGATTTTGATTTCCTTGTCGGTTACTATTATTTCTTTCTTATGTATCATTTGATTTGAGTGCTAAGCCTGTTCGTGTTCTGCCTTGCGCCCTATCCTGTTTTTGTCTGTGGTCCTCCTGGGCTCCTTGCCACTTTTTATTGTTGCTGGGTCGTGTGGGGGTTACGTTCACTGAACCCCGCCATTCTTTGCGTAAAACGCACAATGAGCGTCATAAAGATCATGTACTTAAGTATTTTTGCCAATCGATGTCTTTTGTTTTCAAGTTTTACAAAGCCAAGTTCTTCATAAATTAAATACACGTTTCAAGAACTGTCGACCAGCAACTTTTCTCCGTGGTATGACAATGCTTCGTCACACAAATCTGTAATTGTACGAGAATATGTGAAACAGGAAAAGCTTGCCGTGCTTCCTCACCTTCCTTATTCGCCAGATCTTGTCCATTGTGACTTTTTCCTACTCCCGAGGCTCAAAAACACCTTGCTGGAAGAAAACATCAAACACGAAAAAATCTCGGATCGATTAGTTTCCAACGTCTGAACAGTATACCTCGAAAGGATTATGAAAACGCTATTAAAAATTTGATTAAAAGACTAAAACTTTGTTTATGACATGGTGGTGAGTATTTTGAAGGTTTGAGATAATTATTTTGACACTGTTTGTTAAGCACTTCTGAAAAGTGACCCAGTTGCATTCATATTTGTACACCACCCATATTTATTGAAATTAGCACAATAAAAAGTGATAGTGTCGTAGAAAACACTAAATCAAAGATCCATTAGACAAGGGATTTAACCAAGTTTTGCTTGAGTTATGCATTCTTTTTCACACATTAATAAATTAATAGTCTTTTATAAATGTTTAAGTATTTTGGACATTGGAAGTTATTCAATCGGTTGACAAATGTGTAACACCTTTTACGCAACCACATGTAAATTGTTTCATTAGTTGTTGCCCTCTGCAGACGAGCGTCGGATTTGCAATTTCGTTTAAAGATAAGGCTATTTATTTGTGCCATGGCATATTTTTTAATAGCGTTAGGGTGCAAAAAAATCTAAACTTAATTAACTTTAAATTTTTATTATACATGTATTAGTTATTCACTTACGAAATATTTCGGATTCATGTAAAATAGATTTTAGTCCTCTGTCATTTTAATCAAACATAGTTGAATTTCTCATAATAAATAAAGATAAATAGTTTCGAGGTTGAAATTATTGATGACAAAATATTTTTATTTGTTATAATACTATACTTTTAAAAATGAAGACATTCAAATGATAACTCGTTTCTTTATGTTAGGAATTAAATGATAACTGGAAGCCGGACATACTCAAACTGATAGATAATATGGTAGGTATAACGATTTTGAGACATTGTAACAAACAATCTGTTTTTTTTTTCATATATTTAGTCAAATATAAATAAAACTGGAACGTATGTCCGCTTCACATAGTTATTATTACATTTTTTCCGGACTTCTGAATGATAGATAACTTTAGAAAATCTTAAACTAGAACCCTGTATTTACTAAAGAATATTTTGTTTTTACTTTTAACTTATTATAAGGATGTGAGGGTATTAATCATACACTGATATTGCATCTGTTATTACACGATTATATCATATACAAACGTTTTTCATAGGAACTTATTATGGCAGTAATGAAGCAATTCATTAATCCAAGCTGTTACGACGAAATCCAAGAAATGCAAAAACACTCACCTATTGGCTGTAGAGTTAGACGTGGCCGAGATTGGGTGTGGGCAGATCAAGACAATGGAGGTCCTGGAACTGTTGTTGGGCATTTATACGATGGTATGTGGAACCTCACATAGTATCTGTAAAACTTGTGTATAAATTGGCAATTTTTTAAGAACTATTAACTCAATAATATATTGGAGGATTTTGAAATTTGGCCATATTGGATAAAAACTAGGGCAACAGGTCAAAGCAGAAGACATCAAATAGAGGCAAAGAAAAACTTGGTTAACAGTATTGGTGTCACAATGATTTTTTATATGAATAAACTTATGCTAGTTTTATATTATCTTAATTGTATCTCAAATGAGTTCGAAAATGAAACAATTTGTGTCAAAAAGTAAATCACCATGATAAATCAATAAAAAGCTATGTTTACGTAGATTCTAAATCTTCATCGATATTTGTCATAGTTTGTGTCTCTATGATATATTAGGTTATGTTAGAATATTACTCATCTTAGGTTTAAAAAGTAGGACATGAAGTCAAAAGAAAGGAAAGCCTTGTTCAACTTTAATATTCAATATGCAAAAGACACAAAGTATTCTTTCTAGATGTCACTTTTATTTGGATGTTACATTTTTTTAAAAGAATGAATAAATAAATATTAAATAAATACATATATAAATGAAATTCCATTTTTTAAAGATATACTATGCTCAAGTTTGATTTTTAAAAATAGTAATAATTGCAACACAGTCTCTTTGTATGTATAAAATAAACATGTTTGGAATTCATTTAAGGTAGATATGATATGTTTGAACTCTACACACTCTATGTGGTCCCATATGAATATATTGTGTCATTAAAAGAACTGGCAGTTTTTTTAAAGAAAATACCAATTTTACTTGACCCGTAATAGAGAATGCAGCTTTCCATACATAGTTTATTAACAAAGTCAGTTAGAATTTCATGGATTTCAATGCATTTCTTAGATAAAAATATTTTATCAAAAGATGAGCATAGTATATCTTTAAGCTATGAAAGTGTTAGAAAGTATGTACAGAACGACAGTCTTTTGAAGTCACGTTTTGTAATGCCTTTCTTTCTACCAGGACATTTTGATGAAATTTAAAACCTATAATGATTATATAACGGGCAACAAAATTAGGCACCGCCAATAATGAAGCAGTCATTTATTAATTGTTGCTTCCTCACATTAAATCAGCTTCTTAATTGTATTTTTTTATTTCTTGTCGTCTAAAGAAAAAAGTGAAAACAGTTCTATTAACTTCTCAATTAATTAAGAAAGATTAAAACAGCAAAAAGTGTACGATATTATCTATATAGATCTACGTCGGATGATTAACATCACCCAAAAGACAATTGTTAAACTTGTTTTCTTTTTTAATATTTACGTTTTACAATATTTTTTCATTATCGGCAGCAAAGTACAATAGACCGGTGCACATCCTAAAAACGTAGATAATATGACTTTATTTTGATAGCTTAAATGGCTTAGTGAATCATGACGTATAACATTACAAAGACTGAGTAGTCATCTACAATACGGGTTTAGCAGACGATGAAATTTTGTCTGAATCAACTTTTAAAAAGGCGGATTTGGCCGCTTTTCTTTTAATTTTACAGTTAGTTTTAAATGTACAATATCTTAAAACATTACAGGCTTGATCTTTATATTTTTGAATTAAATGGCCTTTTTATATGTACATCAAATGAAGTTTTCTTTACTGGTTTGTTCATTTGAACATTTTAATAATTGAGATGGGACGGATCGTATTCTGATCACACGTGTGTGTAATTTTTATATGTAAGTGTTACAGGGATATTTTATCCCATATATAAACTCACTAATGGGTCCCACAGAGAGAAGACGCAGATGTCAGCACACAGTGGTCATAAAGAGGCATTAGCAGCTACGGTCAAGACGTATACTAGTAAATGGAGTTCTTTATGTTTAAATTATTTTATATACATAAGTTTATACTTAAAATGATTAATTTTTTTGTCAGATACGAAACCTCGTATATGTCTGAACACCACAGACAAAACATATATTTGTACTTATACATTATATAACAATAATATTTATAAAATTTATTAACCAATTTTGTGTACGACACTACACTACGACATTTGTTCATATTAATGCTTGTCTAAAAAAAACAAATTATAGTGTTCATAAATATGCTTGTCCAAACACCATGAAAAAGCCAAAATTGTCTGAATACCACAGACAAAAGAAGACTCATTGTTTCATAATGTTATCATGCTTATTTCCGAATATATATATTGTCCAGGCACTGCGGTTTGCATACCACAGATGGACGAAATATTGATTAATGTAGGGATCCATTTGACGGCGTTATTAACGCTTGACTGCGATAAAAATCCTAGTCGTTTATATGTTTCTACATTATTTTATTGCTTGAATGGACTGCTGCTAGAAATGTTTAAAAACATTTTTCAAAATCATGACCGACGATCAAGAAGTTGTAAACAGCCAGTCCAATATTTCAAATATATTTGAAAAATTCGGAACGCCTGCTGGATCTTCCGGTCAGTTAGAAGGCATCCAAAACGCAATAATAAAGGTTTAACGGAGTCTCTGACTGAAATAAGGTCTATGGTTAACTCTTTGAAAAGACCTGCTGTTACCTTGGAAGAAACATCAACCTCGAAACGTTTTTGCGCAAGGGAGGATTTATGCTCAGATGATGAAAGCGTGGGAGATTTTTTCATCGATCCTGGGGTCACCGACGGAAATGATGATGAATTTTGCATGTTGGATTTCTACGAGCATACCTCAGAAACAGGAGCGGCGATAAGTGACAAATTAGGCCACTTTGAGCAATACGACTTTACAGGTACAACCGAAAGAAGGAAAATTAAAGGAACTTTGTGACACAAATAAGAGGCCTAACATTGTATATTTCTGCAAGTATCTTTGGTGAATACCGCCTCCGTGGTCGAGTTGTTAGAGTCGATGACTTCTAATCCATTTACTTCTCTGGCGTGGGTTCGATCCCGGGGAGATGCTTTGGTAGTTTAGCGCGGAGGAAGGTACTAGTAGTCTAGTACTAGGGTAACTCTCCAGGAACGATGGTTAGGAAACTACCCGCCTATATGACTGAAATACTTTTGGGAAAATGCGTAAAATGAAACAAACAAAAAATGACCAGTTGTGGCAACAGTTGCCATCTCAAGTCAAAGCACAGGATTTTCTGTTGCAGAGGACGCATCAACAATTTTCGTCTGCTTTAGTACCGGTATTGAAGGTCATTGACGAGTTGAAAACAGATGGACGACCAAAAATGAAAGAGTTGATTGGGGATACTTTTAAACTGTTAATCAATGTATTTGTCAGTACTTCTCAGGTGAGACGTGACATGATAAAAAAGGAACTTCTCCCGCTTTATAGGCCAATTGTACAGCAAACCAATATGCCACTCATCTGTTTGGCGATAAAGTAGATGAACTTAAAATGTTAAGGGACTATAAACTGGAGCTTACATGTACTTCAAGGCTTTATGTTTTAGGGAAACGCCAGAGCATGGCGACCCTGATACCTCAGCACAAACAAAAACATGCGCTCATTTCACAGGGCAACATGACTTTCTATCAACAGCGACGGCGTCAACATCAGAAAAAGCAGAAAAAGAATACTTTCCTATCAAGAGCACAGAAAGTAAGCATAATATGACATATTCTTTTACCATTATTAATTTCTCACACAATTTTCGGGCGGGAGACCAGAATGGCGGTGAATGAGTAGAGAAAAATAACCAAGGATAGATGGATTCTAAAAACTGTAGATGGCTATCGGGTACAGCTGTCAGCAATTCCTTTTCAGTGTAAAAATCCAAAACCATTTAATTTTAAATAAACTAAAAAACAAGCAATACAGATTGAAATTACACGTTTTTTCTAATCAAGGAATAACAGATATTGCAGATAAAAACGTGGACGAGAATACATTTTGAATATATTCACAAGACCAAAATCAGACGGACGGATTAGAATTATTTTGAACTTAAACTACATTAATAACAATTTCGTCAGCAAAATACATTTTGAAATGGAAACTTTGGGATTAGTGACCACAGCAATGAGAAAAAATAGTTATTCCGGCAAGGTTGACATTTCTGATGCCTTTTACACAATACTTATATACGAACGGGACAGATGTTATTTTCGTTTCTTTTCCGAAGGTATAAAATATCAATTTACAGCGCTTGTGATGGGATTAGCAAAAAGCCCACTAATATTCACTAAACTGTTGAAGCCAGTTTTTTTCTCATTTAAGACCGCGGGGTCATTAAAGTTCAATTTATATCGATGACGCATGTTTGCAAGGTCAGTCATACTCCGCATGTGCTCTATATATCAGCGAAACAATTGATTTATTATCCAAGTTAGGATTTCAATATCAATGAGTAAATCTGTCTTGGTTCCGTCGAAAAAGATTGTATTTTTGGGATTTGTGTTGTGCTCTAAAACAATGACTATAAGATTAACAAAGGGAAAATGTGATGATATCATAGAGGTATTCACTAACATAATGATGCCGGCGAATAACAATTAAATAAATTAAAAGATTTTTGGCAAACTGGTTCCAGCATCACCGGGGCCTTATGCATGCTCCGTTGTACATGAAACCTTTAGAACGACATAAGTAAAGGGAACTGAAAAATCAAAAGGGGAATTTTAATAGTTTTTTTACAATTGCGTCAGATATTTTGTAACATTTGCGATGGTGGATCACTTATATAAATTCGTGTTTCAAACATATTCTTTGGTAAATATGTGGGGCGCGTATGATAACACAGGAAATAGGAGAACAAATGGATTTTAGTCGGCTAAAGAACAAAGACAGAATGGAGAATATCACCCGAGATGTTCAAAGCAATATGTTGGTCTTTCCCGTCCTTAAATATAGATTTATTTGCATCTCGCTTAAATAACAAGTTTTCGACGAATATTTCAAGACAACCTGACCTTACTGCTTTTGCTAGAGACGCTTTGTCATTCTTGTGGCATGATAATTGTAATTAATGTTTTCCACCTTTCAGTGTAATAGACAGGGGCCTGCAAAAAGTAGAAATAGATCAAGCATATCTACTGTGTTAAGTAGCACCAATGTGGTCTACCCAGACTTGGTGGCCGACATAAATACAACTTATTGTTGCACCATGCATTCTACTTCAACACCCTCAAGACATCCTTACGTTGTTATTATTATTATATACCAAACTTCTTAAGCACTTTTTTCATGCACATTGACACGTTCAAAGGTACTGTACAATATAACTAAATAAATAAAACAATATTTAAAAGAAAGAAAAAATTAAAACATCAATATTGCTCAAGTCACAAATTCAAATCAAATGTAGTTTAAAAAAGTTAAAAAGACCCACATAAATAATAAAATTCAGGTATGAACCTAAAAAATAATCAGTCCAAATTAAACCTCTTAAATAAGTGAGTTTTAAGTGCTCTCTTAAACACTGTTAGAGTTTCACAGCTTTGAAGTGTTCTAGGTAGGGCATTCCAGAGTTTAGGGGCTGCCGTCATAAAAGCACGATCACCATAAGTCACAGTCCTACTACGCGGTACAACAAGTGCTAAGCAATCATTTTGGGACCTAAGTGGTCTGGATGGGGTATAAATGTCTAGCATGTTTCGTATGTACGTATGTGCCTGTCCATAGAGCGCCTTGAACACAAATGTAAGGAGTTTGTACTCGACTCTGATGTTCACAGGAAGCCAATGTAGTTCCTTTAAAACTGGGGTTATTTGGCAGTTTCACGGTGTCCTGGCAATAACACGATCAGCCTTATTTTGAACATTTTGGAGCTTGTTGAGAACGTACTTTGGAGATCCATATAGTAACGAATTACAGTAATCTAATTTTGATGTCACTAACGAGTTTAACAAGGTTCTGGTTGAATCAACAGTCAAGTATTTCCGAATTTGACCTATCTGTCGTATTTTCATGAAGCATGAACGAGAAACTGAGTTCACATGTTGTTCCATGTCTAAATGAGAGTTTAATACGGCGCCAAGGTTTCTAACTGTTGTTGATGGTTTTATTACAGAATCACCGACTCTTACAGTAAGATCTTCAACATCACTTCGTTTTGGTACAAAGACGATCACCTCTGTTTTGTCCGCATTGAGTTTCAGAAAGTTATTATTCATCCATAGTATGATGTCATTCAGGCATGCTTCAATTCGTCGCAAGGTCGCATTGCGTGAAATGGCTTACTTTGGTTTAAATGCCATGTACAATCTACAGATATGATTTTATCCATTGTAAAGGTTTGCCTACTATTCCGAAGTGTTGTTCGAGCCGGCAAAGGAGGGTACTATGGTCAATCGTATCAAAAGCAGCAGATAAGTCAAACATTACTAGAACAGTAGCTTCATTCTGATCAAGAGAGTGGAGAATGTCATTCTGTACACATATCAGTTGTGCCATCGGCCGGGAAAGAAACACCCATTAAAAAAGATGAGGCTGGCTCTTTTTCCCATATCAGGAAATCGCTTGAAGATAGAGGGATTTCAAATGAAGCTTAACAGATAATCATTAATTCGTGGCGGAGAACAACCAGGAAACAGTCTTAAACATATCATAAACAATGGTTTTATTTCTGTGAAGGGAAACAAGATCCCTTTAAACCCCTTGTAACAACAGTGATAGCTTTTTTGTCTCACCTCTATTCAAAAGGGATAACCTACAGTGCAATTAGTATTGCCAGATCAGCAATTTGCGGGTTTGTTAGATAACTTCGAATGTAGATCTCAGCAATAATAACCTGATATCACGATAAATGAAAGGTGTATTTAACACAAGCCCGGCACTTCCGAGGTTTAAAGTGATATGGGACGTGCGAACAGTTTTAGATTTTTTATCAAAAACAGAAATTGATACATTATTATTTTTGGCTGAAGAAATAGGCATGTTGTTTTTATTGTTGTCAGCTCAGCAGTGTCAAACACTCCATCTTATTTGTTTGGAAGACATTAATATTTCAGACGAAATATTGATAATATGCACTCCATATTTATTAAAAACATCGAAACCTGGTCGACACCAGAACCCCTTTTTTGTTTGACAGTTTTAAACCAGATAAACGCTTGTGTATTGTCAGCGTCATAAGTGAATATTTACAGAGAACTAAAGATCTCAGAAATTACTGATATCAACAATTAGGCCTCAAAACAAACAATTTGTGGTTGGATTCAGCTAATTATGCACAGAGTTGGGATGCATAGATCATTCAAACCACATAGCACGCGCGCTGCTGCGTATTCAATCGCACACATGCGTGGAGTCCCGTTACAGACGATATTTCAATCTGCAGGATGGAGCAATGCCAAGACATTCGCAAAATTTTATGATAAACCAATATCTTATAACAATGGAAAATCTAGGCAGGCTTTCAAAGATATTGCCAATTAGTGTTTGTTCGAAGCTATGAATAATGAAAAAAATATCACAAACTGTTATAATAATAATCATTATATTTGTATTTGATTACTTTCTATATACCGGTAGTTGTACTTGACATTTACGTTCTGTAAAATTATGATAAATGAATTACTAAATAACGTAATGTCGTTTCTACAATATCGCAAAAAGAACTCTAAATTCTCTGTGGGACCCATTAGTGTGTTTATATGTAGGATGAAATGATATGATTAAGCTAGGCTTACCTGTAGGCGAAGGTTAATCATGATATAATCCATATAAAACTCACTAAAGGCTCACACACCAACCCGCTACCTTCCCGTTTAAACTGATTTTATTCGACATTATTTACTCTAAAATATGACCGCTGGCTGCTGATAGCTGCGTCTTCTCTCTGTGTGAGCCCTTCATGAGTTTTAGCTGGACGAAATCATGATTAACTTTCACCTTACATATTAGATTTATAGTAATGTTGTAATTGTACAATATATTTGCCATCGTTGAAAGAAAAACTAATAAAACAAAACGTTATTTTATACAAGCTGCATGTATTTGATGTTTAATGGAAATGCCTAAGATACTCACATATCATAAACATATTGGTTGATAATGAATATATCTTTAATTAAAGCCATCCATATCAAGTATAGAGATTAATTGTTACCAATATATTTTTCTTACTTTTTCATTGAAACTTCATTCCAACCTTTGAATATCTTGCTTCAAAGTAGTTGTTATTTTGGTGAATTCAATTTGACGTTTTTTTCAAAACGTTTAAGCAATGTTTAAAATTTCTTTTCGTAGAGCTTAGAAAGTACTGGTGTTGGGTCGAATGGGACATAGGTGGGGACATTAATGTTTACAGATGGGATGTGCAAGGAAAATGTGACTTGACTATCGTTGATGAAGAAAGACAACCTGAAGAAGAGGAAATTATAATGGTCGGATGCAAGGTTGCACCTGGTATGTGAAAAAAAGTAATCGTAATAAATAGACGAGATTTATATATCGTTTTCAGGGAAAAAATTACTTTGAAGGCCTTTGTTTACTTTAAAACATTTTGTTAAAATATAATTGCTGAAAGTCGTCTGAACACGTTTTGCAAAGAGTCACGGTTTTGAGGTATTTCGTTTACATTTTCGCAACGTATGTATGCAAATATTTTTAGCAATATATGATACAATTTTTTTTATTATTGTCTCAAAGAATCATGTCTTTTCTAAATAAACAATTTTCATGTTAAGAATGTTTGCAAGGCAATAGCGATACGTATGACACTATATGGTGTCATAAAGTGAAGTATGATAAATAGTAATATTAAACTAAGAATAACACTTCTTTTTTCTAAAAGAAAGTAACGTTGCACAACGGAATGTTGTTGTATGTCCCAAGTACATATGTAAGATTTATACACTGCCATTTCAGAGAAGACATATTGTCATGTATAAGTTTTAAGACTGTTATCAACGACTAAATGTCATTTTGATTTCTTTTAACTCGAAACTATTTCTGTACCAAATTTTATTAAGCATATACAAAGCGAGAACAATAATGTAATTTATAAGGCAGTGAAAATGTCTTGGCAATATAAGTAGATGCCAGGTAGACATCCTAAGCAATATGTCACTTAAAAATCTGAAGATGCAAATTAAAACTCTGTCTAATATCAGTTATCTCATTTTAAGTATGCATAACTGAAAATATAATCCTATTGAATTTTGATCTAAAGCGAGCAACAAAAAACCAAAGGATTTTCAAGTACAATGGTACTAAATGTTTAAAATCTTTAAAGCATTATGCTATTATTTCTGAGTATTTGGTTAGCTTTATGTATGTTTAAGTGTTATTTGAGTTTTGATTATTCTATTATTTTCTGATTTAGCATGTGATCTGTGTCTGATATTATTATGAATTTTAGGAGAAGGCTATGAAGGAAACTCCTCCCATGTGATTGGAATTGCCATAAAATATATAGATGATAACAAAATGCAGGTTTGAACAAATTTCATTGAGTGTTATCAAAGACGTCATACATTTAGCATCTCCTTTCTAATATAAAAATGACGTTGCATGTAAGTTAGTAATATTGTTTCCTTATCAGACTGGTGTTTCCGTTAGTTTTACCAATGCTTGTAACTTCATATAGCATGAGGTTTGCAAGATGAGCCGCGATTTAGCGCATTTTATAAATGAACTGCATACAAATTACATCTTTACAGCGTTTTTAAGAATAAAACTGCATGCCAAGGACGACATCAGTTTGTTAGAAAATAGTTACCAATGAATTGACATTATTTCTCATTTAAACTTTATTTTAAAGGAAAGCATTGATCATTCATAACCTCCCGTTTACAAGAACCATTTAGACATACTTTAACATGAGTTTATGTATCTTTAACATATGATAACCTCATATTGTTTTCTTATCTGACCAAGACTACTCAACGATTTGGCATATAATTTAAGTTTTTATTATGGTTAAAGTCAGATTTTTGTACCCCCACTTTAGTGGCGGGCATTTAGATTTACCCTTGTCCGTCCTTCCGTCCGTCCATCCGTCCGTGTTACAAACCAGAGCTACATTATGGGGTTTGGTCTTTGATGTCATTCATTCCGTTTCTCCTGTGGGATTATTTTCTGCATTGTGGGGTTAAAAAGAACAAATGAAATAACAAAAGAAAACCCCATAATGTAGCTCTGGTAAGAATGTCCATTCTTTTTTGTGACGCAGGTAACTCAAAAAGTATTTGACCTAGAGTCATGAAACTTTACAGGAATGTTGATCAGCATGTGTAGTTGTGCACCTGGGTTTTTTTCGTCTGGATATTTTCAGTATTTGTAGAGTTATTTCCCTTGACTAAGTAAAAACTGTTTCATTATGTTGTTATTTGTTCCTTGAGTGTATGAGTTAGAATCAACCAACTTTACAGGAATAATGATCAACATCACTAAATTACAGGAATAATGATTCACATCACTGTGAAGCTAGGACTTTGCATGTGGATTTTTTTTCTTGTCTTGCATAGCTCAAAAAGTATTTCACTTGTAGGCCTGAAAGTTTACAAGAATGTTGGTCAGCATGTGTATTTATGCACCTTGGGGTTTGCTTGTGGATTTATTCAGTATTTGTAAAGTTCTTGTCCTTTATTTTTGACCTAGTTTCATAATATTGACAGAACAGTGGCGCGGTGGGGGCACCCGTGTCCTATGGACACATTTCTAGTTATACATATACTTAATGAAACGAGACGGTAACATTTGTTTTACATTAGTTTTATGTTAAACTAGATGTGTTCGACATTTCCACTCTTAAAACTTACTTGTAAAAGGAAGCATCAAATAAAAAAGTAATGTATCTCGAACCTAGGTAAGATGGGATGATGATGGGTCGAGAGAAAACCTTATGTATGGAAAAGATGGAACACCTAAGCAATTGGTGCTTGCGATTGACAAAGGTGAATTTAGTATTATTCTTCGTCAGTGCTTTTGAAAACAATTATATTAGCTCTTATTTTCTGTACCTAACACAAGGTTTGGTAAAAAAAACTTGAAAGAGATTCATGATAAAGATTGGGTTTAGTAGATCTATTTGGAGAAATACCGACACCTTTGTATGTGTATCTTATTTCTAACTAACGATTTCTTAAGCATTGTTTTCTTTGTCGCATTTAACGATATTATTGTGATAAAAATATGTTTATTTAGGAATAAGGAAGCAAGATCACGAAAATTGTAGAAGTGAAGGTGAAAATCCTATTGTATATGATGATTCAGCTCTTAAACAAAAATGCAAGTATATTTTATTAATTCATATTTAACATAACATGCAGTGTTTTATTGATTGACCATGAACAATTACATGATCCAAAAAAAAGGTTTGCAATACATATGTTATGATCTTTATGCAGTGCTAATATTCACCAGGGTATGATAAACGTTTTAAATGTTATTTGAACGAACAAATAGAGCAGAAGCATGCAAACCTTAAAGTCAGAGAGGCATCTGTCAAAACTCTTTAAATAAAGACCTTTATCTTTATGACTTGAAGAGACAATAAAATAGTCCTCTTCCAATGTAATCTAACGTGATTCACATTACTGCATTATAAAACAGACAGGACAGTCTACGGTATTATTATTCGATATACAAGTTTGCATAGCATACGAAAGTAATACTCACACGCCATATGACGACAGACTGGACGTTAATAAGTTGCAAACCAAATTACATTAGACTGAAAAAATACTTCTAAGCTCAATTTAAGTCAACATTTTTTATGCATTCTCTTTTTATAAAGCATGTTACAGTGGCAATAGACATTTATTATCCGTGTTTTGTAGTATAATATTGCACGATTTATTGCTCAAACATGTCAAATGCTTTGTTATTTTTTTCCTGCGCGTTTGAACTCGAAATGTATATTATTTTCAACAAGGCACTCAAAATTGATATTTTTAACGAAACAGTTAATGTAATACAAAATGTATGAGCAAATCAGAGAAAATTTTATACATTGGTTTAAAAAAAACGAAAACATTTTCTAGAATGATTGAAAACTGAATAAATTGACATAAAAATCTTATTTTGTAAAATAAACATCTCTCTATTAGCTCTGCCGGCACCTCCTGAATTCCTTGAAGTTTATGACATATTTGAGAATACAGCTAATGTACGTTGGCAAAAATGCAGGGATGACAAGATGAGCTCAAATTCAAAATACGTTGTTACTTATGTAGAGAAAAACAAGCCACACAAGAAAATACTTGTTGACGTTGTTGCAGCTGTTTCCTGTATCTTAGATGATCTTAAACCGGCATCCGACTATTCCGTTGATGTAAAGTTGGTCAGCAATGATGGCGAGTCATTGCCCACAAAAACCTATTCATTCAAAACAAGGGAAACAGGTACTTACTGTATATTTTGAATTCAAAGCTATATTTCGCAAACTTTTTTTCTAGCCAATAAGTCTATGTTTGGATGTTTGGCATAAAATATTTATTCTTTACAGGAAGGTAAATCAGGTACGAGAACCATCCTTCTGGTTTTGAAAATGTGTCTCTTTTCTTTCCGAATTTCTTAACAAATTCAAAAGTAAATTGGGATCAAAGAGTCATAAAATTCGATAAGGGAAAGCTTACCGACAATAACAAAGGATCGCAACCTGTTAATCAGTTATTCCATTGACTGCGACTCAACAAAACACAAAAGGAATTTTTATTGCCAAATAGAGATGCACAAGCTACCTTGATTTCTCAGACACTTTTACTCTACAAATATTAGTTTAAACAAATATTTTGTTCAAGTTTTGTCTCAGTAAATAAGTTAAGTTTGACTGTTTTGAAATGTCATTGGTTACATAACCACCTAGTCGATAGGAGTTTAAGGCTTTGTGCTCATTTTTTATAGTCTTAGTTTTTTAATATAGACTTAATTACGATTTATATAAATAATTCAAAGCTTCAACAATTTGTATGTTTGAATGAATCAATCAGCTTCATTGTATGTGGAACTACGTAGGGAATAGTCATATTCAAGTTTATATATATTCAAAGACATAAGGACATTTGATGCCCTGTGACTTTTTTCATTCACGTAGGAAATATAATTACCAAGTGATATGATACAATGTGTGTCAGAAATCACAGACTGAAATTTGTTCAAACTTTATGGATGGTTTCACTGCAAAGAGGAACTTTACTAAGCACAACAGTTTCTCGATGATTTATTATTTTTATATGTTACGTTTGCACGAAATGTTTCTCACTACCATACCACCATTAGTTGATACTTTCCAGATGAATAAATTCATAATGTCTTTTTGTTGTTGTTGTTTTTTTTTTTGTTTTTTTTTTGTTTTTTTTTACAAGTTTTGTTCACTGTGTTCTGTTAAATTATGGAGTCATGTGCCTTATCGTACCTTATGATGCCTTAACCAAGGAAAATTAAAACCTTTGTCCATGCTTTTTCCCACCATCAACATACTGAAATTCAACAAAAATAAATGCATTACAATGGCCAAAAAAGCTGGACACTTGATTATTTTTTTCAAACTAAGATGGAACCGTTCATGTACTATATCCGGTAATGTTTGTTTCAATAATTTCTGCAGCAATAGTTTTGCCACTTTACATGTTATTGCAATACTCTTATATTTCTGATTTAGATAAAATCACTTTACATCATATTCTTGTGTTTAATGTATTGTAATGTTGCAAAAAGTCAGTCCTTGTGTCAGATAAATACGTTGTTTCGTAATCTTGAAATGTTTTTTAGATACAGATGATACATGCTACGAAGACTGGAAACTTACTGAAAAAGATGCGTCTCGACTTGCAGAAGCAGTAGGAATGAACTGGCAAATACTTGGCCCGCCGTTAGGAATAAGAAACGTGAAACTTCATCATATTATAGAAAATAACATGACCGTGGCTTTACGCATCTATGACATGTTCCTGACGTGGGTAACTCAAGACAAAGACAGTACCTTTAGGACTTTATGTAAAATTCTGGAGAAATATCCTAGTGTTTATGTTGATCGAAAAATCTTAAGTGAAATGAAACAAGAACACCCATTAATAAAATAACTTGGGGTAAGTTACTAATTACTAGTGTAAAAAGGGAACAAACAACTTAATATCTTCCAAAATCAAACAACAGTTTCTCATAATATTTATGGTATGACTTCAAACCCTTTTCGACATTTAATGATTTTTTTCATGCAAACAGATGATCCAAACAAAATTTTATTATTCAGTTTGATTAATTAGGCACTGATAAAAGTGATGACATTTATTACTAACTAACTAACTAACTAACTAACTAACTAACTAACTAACTAACTAACTAACTAACTTACTTACTTACTTACTTACTCATTAACTAACTAACTAACTAACTAACTTACTTACTTACTATCTATCTATCTATCTAACTAACTAACTGACTAACTAACTAATTAACTAACTAACTAACTAACTTACTGTTACGTGATAATATCCATATTGTTGTTCACTATTATACATATAAATGTTTAAAACTAGCACAAAGGCATCAGATGGACAAATAGCATATACAAGAATTTATTTAGTCACCCCACTTGTATGGAGGGCGTTCGTTGCCAAAATTCCAGACATGTAAAGTGTTCCTTTTTAAAATGACTTTTGAAAATGCGAACTTGTATGCCTACCATTTTTATTGTAAACCTCTTAATTCAATCTTTTATTTGAAGGTTACCCCAAACAATTTAATAATATTAAAATACCAAACACTAAAACACAAAAATTTAAAAGTTCGATCTTCCATGCTGCAATAAAAAGGTGTTTTAAAAAACTTTTAAATTTTTGAATAAAATATTTTAAACTAAAGTTTAAATACAAAATAGATTCCCCAAAAGTTTAAACGAATTTAAGTAAGATAACCCCCCCTCCGGGTAAGAATTTAAATATTGCGGAAAAGGTATAAAAAAGGCGCCTCTCCCCCATTTTAAATAAAATAAGGAAAAAACGGATTTTTTATAAAATATTAAGTTTTAATTTTGTTTCAAAAGGATACAAACATAAAATTTCTGATTTTACATTTATAATGAAGATAACTTATGCATTACCTTATTTTTTAACATCGTGTTCTTATCAGTTACAAATTATTTATCATTTTTAGTGATTAGCCTGTCCGTGCTCTGCCTTGTGCCCTGTCCTGTGTTTTGTTTTGGGTCCGCCTTGGCTTCTTTGCCACTTGTTCTTGTTGCTGGGTCATGTGGGGTTGCGTTCATTGAGCGCCGCCTTTTCCTTGTTTATCTTGTTTATCATATATTCCTGAGAAACATCGGCGATTGGGAAATTTTTAGGAAACAATGACCAACTTCAAGGGGTAATTTTATTAATAATGTAAAAAACCACCCAATATTCTTATATTGGTATCATTGAAAAATGTATTGGCACAAATTTCATTTTCAACAAAAACTATGCAAGTATATTTTAAAGCGGCCACCAAGATTTCCTTTCCGAAATCAAGAAAATACTTATCCGTAGCACATATGTACAGTCTTTAATAAGGTATTTTCAGTATGAATAAAAACTTTTTGCACTTGTTCATAATCCCTCATGTACAGACTCAATCAAACCGAGTCTGCAATTCTTATGTAATTTTGTAGTGATTAATGCTTCGGAGGGATCACTTTGTTTCCAGATTTTTATACTTCACAACAGCAGGTTTCAAGTGCCGCGAGGCAGCTGTAAAAAGTTGCCCCGTACTTCACTTCAGTGTTGTTATATTTTTCTGGTCTTTCGGGATCATTGATGCCAGCGCTATTAAGTGTTGAGAATTGAGTACCGTTCAAGCCGGTGCTAGGGGGCGTGAGGCAGGTTGCACTTGTTCATTATCCCTCATGTGCAGACTCAATCAAACCGAATCTGCAATTCTTATGTAATTTTGTTGTGATTAATGCTTCCGAGGGATCACCTTGTTTCCAGATTTTTAATATACTTGTTCAAAACTTATGGTCTTAACTTCATTCAATATTTATTTTTCTTTTTGAATAAAGTATCTAAAGAAGCGACGTTATTTTTTTTCCGAATATATGAGTGTGGATTTAAGAGAAAAAAAACAACGATAAGTTAGAAACAAAATTTTTAATACTTCTATGTAATTAATTTCATTTTTAAGGCATCACTAGAAAGTTCATTAAGGATTCTTAAGCACTATTAAGTGTTGAGAATTGAGTACCGCTCAATCCGGTGCTAGGGGGGTGAGGGATGTTGCACTTATTCATTATCTCTCATGTACAGACTCAATCAAACCGAGTCTGCAATTCTTATGTAATTTTGTTGTGATTAATGCTTCCGAGGGATCACTTTGTCTCCAGAATTTTTTTACTTGAGTCTAAAAATTATCAACGCCGCCTTTCTTGATGATCTTGTTTATCATATTCTAAAATTATCAAAATTGATCAAGAAATAAAAAAAAGTAAGTAGGGGCGCCATGTTTCTCTTACTGAATTTCATAGTGTGTTTTTTTTTTTTACTTGGGATCATATGCCGTTTTTCATGGTATGGCACTTACGTGTCACGTTGAAGTTCCATGATAATCACCATATTAACACATCTGCGGATGTTTCAAAATTCAAAACTGTACGCAGTTTCATGTTGAATTTTGCTTAAGCCGGTGCTAGGGGGCGTGGACGATAACTTGCTTTTTCCATTACCGTCCATGAGCAGGCTCAATCAAACCGGCCTGCAACATTCTCAATTTTTGTCGTTTGGGCGTTCTTTAGGGATTTCTTATTTTCTCTATTTTACAGAAAGTAACATGATAAACTTTTTAACGAAAAGTTAATTCATTTTGATTTAATTCCTTTTTATTTTGAGGCATTATATAATTATATATCATAAATCGTATTAATCACACTTTTATTTCAATCCAAAATTATCAAAATATATTACGAAATAAAAAAAAAAGTTTTGGAGGGAACGCCGTGTTTTTCTTACCAATTCGAGAGTGTTATTTTCAGACTAAAAAAAAACAACAACAAAATCAATACATCTATTTAATTCATTTTTATTTCCGAGGCACTCATAGAAAGCTTATGGAGTAATCTTTCATTTGATACAAATTATATTGGACTTTTTATAGAAAAAAAGAAAAAGTTAGAATGGACGCCGTGTTTTCCTTCACTTTAGAGAGGCGACGGGTATTATACCTGTCCGTACATTTCCGTGATAGAAGATCGTAAGTACTCAGAGAGGGGCGGGGCGTCATGCATGACTTAAAATCGTTTAACTTTGTGAATCAACTTTTGTCATTTTAAACATGTAACTGTGTAAATGTACTGTTGTAGTTCTACGACTGGAAACACGTTTTATTAAATTATATTTTCTGCATTCGAGTTTTACATTTCATTTGTGTTTTTCAGGTACATATATATATCCACAAGTGTGTAAACATGCTTATGTATTATATGCAATGGTAGATACGAACTTGTAAATGTGTGTTAGGCCAGTTGTAAAGATTTACATGTAAACTTGTTATTTAAAAGCGGGTGCCTTCAATTAAAAGATTGGATTAAGAGGCATATAATTTGCTGTGCACGAATGCAATCAAAAATGCTAGACATACATGTTCGCATTTTCAAAAGTAGTTTTCAAAAGGAACACATTACATGTTTGGAATTTTGGCAACGATCGCCCTCCATACACTTGTTACACTTGTTTTCACATCCCATAACGATCTATTGTGCATTCAAATTTCTTCTTATGATTTATACATGTATGTGATACTTTGTTATGCAGTCACAGAAGGTAGCTCTCGGCAACCATTAATTGAAAGTTATATGTTCTGTTGATTACTAAGTTATATCCTAGAACTTGACATAAAACAATGTTTCAATTTAAACATCTACTTGTTTGAGGAGACATTAATGGTCTTACATCAGAATTGCCTGATCTTGTGCCAGCTAATGATAAAGTACATTCTTATTTTTGCAAGATAATTTGTTGAAGATAGTTACCTTCTGAGAAACTCTCTTGACAAAGGTCCTGTTAATAGTAATGGTATACAAATGCTTGATATTTGTAAGCAAAGTGGTATAAGAATTTTAAATGGGAGACTGTAAGATGAAAAAAAATGTTACTTGTGTTTGGAAAACAGGAAAGCGTAATAGATTAGGTTATTTCAACCTCATTACCAAATTATCTCCTGATAATGTGTGTAATGAATGAAATTCCAGAACAATAAGGGATAAAAGTTAAACATAGTAATAAGATGGGGAAAAAATGTTCTTGAAAACTCTTCAGGAGACCCAAAGTTGTGTTATGTTCGAATCCCAAATTATTTCGAAAATGATTATGTCACGGTATTGAACTGTTCTGTAATAAGGGGAAGGGAGGTAGTTTGTAGGCGGCCCAATAGCTTAGTCAGTAGAGCCGCAGTACGGTATTCCGAGTGTTAACTTAACAGTCAAACTAGAACTCTTTTGGTATAGAAACATAGCTAGCTTTAAGTTATAGACTTACTTTTAATTATGCAACACACAAAAGTTTCTTTTTAGCTTATCATTAATTTCATCTGATAAAGAAGTTTTATTGACAAAGTTAAGTGTGTATGTATACATACACGGCATTTATGATTCGCTTTGTTAATTGATATAGCAATAATGTTGAAACTAATATACAAAGCTAAGAATAATAGAGCATTTGAAAAGTTAAAAAGGATAAAGGTGTGTGTATATTAACAGTAACAGATTGACATAGGTATATTTTAGAATTATGTATCTACTATGTCATGTAAAGAAATGTCTGAATTTAAGGTCGGATGTTTACACTATAGTGATGTGTATAATTTTTAAGTAAAAAATGTATATACAAAAATGATTGTTAATCAGATATGTTAAGAGTATTATCAATATATATACTTGTTATGTCAACTTGTAATTTCAATTAGCAAACAGGCATTATATGAATGTAGATGCATTATCTTGTTCTTGGTATAGTACATAATGGATATTTGTTGGTCTGACTTGTTGGATTGAGGCGGGTTATGTATGGTGACACCGGATGCAATATTTACATAAGTGGTATAGGCAAGAGTGAAATATATAACATCTGTTGTACGTGTACAGAATGTGCTTTTCTCTTGCATGTAAGACAAACAAGTTTTCTACTGCTTTTATGCTTGTGTCTTCGTCCAAAAGACTGATCTTTGCCATGTAAATATCAAAATTCGCCAATTTTACATTAAATTATAGAGTTACATTGCCATCATCTGTATGACATCTGATTTATTTTTGTATTT